GTGGCAAAGCTTCACCATAAGCCTTAACATCATTCCATGAGGCTTGCATCCATTTCTCTTCACTCTCAGACATTTTCATATTGCCAATCACGCTCCAGCTCGTAGGATGTAGGTTGTGGAGATAACTCCAAACAATTTCGTGTACTGTCTTGTCCCCGACCCGCTTAGTGATTGACTCAGGATACGTGTCTTTCATTTCAGTATCAAAAGCTGGCGTTGTGTACGAGGATTGCAAGCGGAAAACGTCCGTGTTCACCTGGGTTTCGCTCAAATTCATGGGCTTGAACTTGTCCATAATGTTGAAGCGCAAATGAACAGAGTAAAACTTGAGCTGCAGCTTAAACCCCCATTGAGCCAAGTACAGGTGAGCCAAGTACAGCTGAGCTCCTAACTGCTTGCCTTTGTCGGTAAATGTGGCGCGGTCGTCAAGGTGGATTCCTGCTGCTTTGCAATTTGTAAAGAACCAGGCAAAGTTGTCTATTGTTTCCTTGTGGACGTACCGAGTGCCACTGGAATGTTGCGCTTATCCCCATCTTTACCAATTATCGACATTGTATTATGGGTGCTTCATGTGCGTTCATCAACCTCCCAGACAGGCAATATTGCATCTTGTATGCGCACGAGGCTACCAATAGATAAAAAAACAATCGGTAGAACCTGTTTCGCGAGTCCAACTCGAGACACACTCGTGATCCAGGGTTTGCCTCAGCGAAAGCTTCCATGAACCCTGGTAATAGACTGTATTCAACTTCAGGGCTCACAGTCAGACTAGCTTTCACCTCTTGTATAGCTCTGTACACTACTGCATGCTTGCTCTTCATATTGATATCATCCACCTTATCCACACTATTAACCACTCGCGTTAGTCCTGAACTGTGATCATCAAGAATCGCAGCAGTAAAACCAGTGAGTTCCTTAAGCTGACGCGCATTTACGTCCGGCGAGCTAGTACAGCACTGCGAGGGTGTCAAATTCAACTTGGAAATGTAATAAGCGCCACTTGGTACATGAGATAGCTTCATCACCTTTTTAACTTTGCCCGCGCTGGCCACGGACGATCTTTTCTTCGTCAAAGAAACCAACCAGCCACAACTGTGCGATGTGCACACCCACGTCTTCATATTTCCATAGGCATATTTTCTGTATACACCCCTGTTTGCATTGGGGGCGTAGTCTCTAACAAACGCCCCCGCTACAGGCAGGTCATCAAAGAAGGCGTGCAGGACGAGCTGGTCTTGGCCATATAGGCGCATTAAGCCGAGCTTGGTCATAGTGTGGATCAGAAGGTGGGCTTCCGAGTGTGAACTACGCCGTCAACGTGCATCTATAATTAAGGCGCAAAGAGCTTAAGACGACTTGTCTGTTTGTTTTCTCGCTACCATAACTACCAACCGCTGCATTTGTGGTCCTTGTTGATAAATCGATTTGTTCTTGTGGTCCTTGGCGATAAATATCCTCGAAATGATACCACCGGAAAGTCCGAAACTTTCAGCTTTTTGTGATACCTTTGTACGAGCGTCACACAGGGGTGTATATGTTTGACGTGCTAACTCGCTCGACGCACTGATGCACAACTGGACATATGTTGTGATTGCAGACGAAGTGGCTAGCATGACAGGAAGGTTTAATGGTCTGGCGACGCGAATTTAAAATGTCTGTGAACCTGGATACTTCGTATCTGGTGCGGGCTGCACCAATTTGGTCTCGTTACGCATCGTGCCTACAGCAGTACCAGGGATGACGGCTTTAATTCTACGTTTACCAGCTTGATTGGGCATTGGAGACGCCAACACACATTTGTTACAAAGATGCAATGTACATGCCCAAAAGTTGGAAGTATCCACTGATCCCCATGTCGGGTGTCGCAGAATGGTTAATCAAACATTCCATTCGTGTGAACCGTCATATGGATGAAGAGGGATTAAACGGGGATTGCGTTGTGCTTTTTGTTCATTATTCTCGCATTTGGTTCCGAAACCGCAAGTGTATTAACTTCATTACAAAGCCAAGCTTTATTAACGGAGTAACATAAGCTACTTCGAGGTCTGATTGACTCGCTCAATATGATCTCTTGCATGGTCGGCCCCATGACATCAGAAGACATAGAAGTCTTACGGAACGTGAACCTACGGAATTTAGCGGTTCATTTGTGCTACAAGTAAAGACGGCAAGTATTTGTATGGCCGGTGGGTCTATCGAACAATGCAGGCACTTACGACCAGCGATTTAGAGCGAATCGCTAAAAGCACAGCCAGAGTT